AAAAAAAAAAAAACCCACAACAACTTATTTCCCCTGCTGTAGCAGTGGGAGGGGGACAAATATATCAGTTTTTTCCATATATAGAATCTAATTATTGGGGGTCATCTTATAATCAAGGATGTACTTTATTTGAGTAAATACGGCAGGGCTCATTTTAGCTAGTGACTGGCATTCACTTTCCCTTTGAATGGATATACTGAGCAAGTTACTGAGGCTTAAGAAAGTGGCTAAAGCTGAAGGGAATTAAATGTGCATGTGGAGCAAGACTGTGATTCAGGGGGTTATAATGCTGCTTTTGTTGAATTTTTCCAAGCTCTGCCTTTGGCAGAAAAATAAGTGACTCGTGGGCATATTCTGTGATCTGCCTCTGTCCAGGGGTTTTGTACCTTTGAGAAATGCAAAACTACTTCTTTAAAGGGTTCAGTTTTCAGGGTTTTTAAAGGATTCAGTTCACCTTTTCCCGTTTTCATTTCCTACTTTGCAAAGTCTTGTGTTTTGTTGAACTTGATGTTTATGAAGGCCTTTAGACACAATTGGCAAACGTTTACTCTGTGCTAAAAACATTCTAGGCCATTTAATATAACTTCTACCTGTTACTGATTCCCATTGTTGATAGTGGCTGATTTCCAAAGAATGCACAATATGTAATTTGTTCAGTTATTTATATTGCTATTTTTCTTTGCATAACTATTATTGCATGGTTAAAAAAATCAGGTTCTTCTACTGTCTAATTAATTAAGAGTGCTGACTCTTGATTTCTTGTTTCCTTGATGCTTGCACTAATGAAAAATCTTGTAACATGTTTCTGTAATCTTTTTCAGACATATTTACATCACTAATTTTTTAACTAAAATAGTTCTGTTATACAAATAGAGTTTTAATACTACTATGCTGCGTTAATGTGTTATTTCTTTTTCTTGCATGCATTCCAGAAACAAGATATTCTTAATCAAGTAAGTAATCTTTCATCATATTTTTTTCCTTGTTAATATGCACAGTGATTTTGAATTTACAGGGATCTACTGGGAATTATTTTATTGATGCATATTTCGTATGGCTACCTTATCTGATAAAGTATTAATATTTTGTGGTTATTGCCATAGAAATATTCAAAATCAGATTTTATGATCAAGATCAAAGTATCCATGGCAAAGTGTCCATGGCAGTGTCAGATGATGCAACTTTTCACCTCTCAAAATCCAGTGCAACTCTTCACTCTTCTATGCCAAGTTAATTCCTTTCCCATACTCCCAAAATGACAGCTAACAGATTTTTGTGTCAGATATGGGGAAGGATCACTTACTTCAGGTTCATTATACATCATCAGCTATGTTAAGAGCGTATGTTAAGAGTAATGGCATAAGGTTTTAGAAAACTAGGTTTCCCAGCTCTTCAACTTCTGGAGAACATGTTCACATCCAGTAAATATTGTACTAATGGACACTAAGTAGTTACTATTTATGTGAAGGTCAATTGTACCAAACTAACTATTTTCTTTTATAAGTTTGTGGTTTACTTAACTCTATTTTGTTGAAGAAGGGGAAACTGTGGTAGATCTAATCTATGTGGATTTCAGTGAAGTGTTTGATATAATGTCACATGGAAAATTGTAGGTTAAGATTGAGAACAGGGGCATTGATATAAGAATTATGAAGTGGCTAAAGAGCTGGTTAAGGGGGAGGCAGTATTAGTGCTGGAATTTTCAGGCTGTAGGGAAGTAGTGGAATATTTCAAGATTTAATCTTGACACAGTCTTAATAATGTTTTCATTAACATCGCAGAAACTTGGAGGATAGCAATGGATTTTGTTTATAACTCTGACTTGGTAGACCAATGAGGCTACTGCCGGCTGGCCCTTCTGCACATCCACGCAGTTTAAAAAGGGCCCGGCAGTGGCAGAAGCCTCATTCGTGTCCCAGCTCTGGTGTGAGATGTGTGGGTGTAAGCCCACTGTGCCTCTGTGAGCCTAGGGACCCCAGCAGAGACCCCAGGACCCCCAACGAGCCCCGGTCTTTCTGCAGGTAAGCAGGGGCCCATGGAGGGAGAGACCTAGTCAGCTGGGAGACGGCTGAGTGGGCTGAAGAGGGTCATGCCTCTCCACCCTCCCCCAGCTCCCACTTGGCCCAGCCCCCCAGAGAGCCACGTGATCAGAACCTTGCGAACAGGCTGTGTAAACAGGCGCGCTCCTGGGCCCAGTGCGGGAGTTTGCACAGGAGGGTGCATGGGAGGGCCTGAGGCCCTGCCTGTGAGCCCCACTAGGAAACCTAGTCCCAGCCGTAGCCAGCCCACCAGTGGCATGACATGGATGGGCACACGCTGTACCCCGAGGGTCCCCTTGGGGTCTGTTGTCTCCCCCTCTGGCACCTCAGAGGCGTCCACCCAGACGGAGCTCATGGTTCAGAGCTTCACGCAGACAGAGCCTCTGGCTCTGGGGCCTGGGAGCACGGCCATCTCCCCTTCTGAGGTCTCCTCCCTTTTGGGGTCTCTGGCATGCCATTTGGAGGAGCACCAGGCCACAGTCCAGAGACTGTGTGCCATCAGGGACTGTGAGCAGGAGATTGACTCCTACTGCCAGACCCTTCTCCCCCGGGAGATGGAGGGTTGACCACGGATGGACGGTCACCTTCCAGGACTGGGGAGGACTCCAGGACCTCCCATGCTGTTCAGCCCAGGGGTTGGACCAAGGTGGTCAAGGGCTGCAAGGCCCACTGCACCAAGGTCCCCCCACTGCTGGAGCTTTGCACCAGGTATGAACCTCTTGCAACCCCAGCAAAGCCTGCTAAGTTGCCAGCTCCTGAAGGCAACACAGGCTTTACTGTTGCTACCGCCCCACTGTCCCCAAGATAAAATGCAAAGTGTTTGTTGTGGGAGACTGCATCCTGCGGGGGACAGAGGGGACAATCTGCTGCCCCAACCCCTTAGCCCGGAAAGTCTGTTGCTTCCCAGGAGCCCAGATCCAAGACATTGCGGTGAAGATCCCTGAACTCCTCCAGCTCACCAACGACTACCCTATGCTCCTCATCCATGTGGGCACCAATGACATGGCTCGGAGCATTCCCAGCTGGGTTATGAAGCACTACAGGGATTTGGGAGCGGGGCTTAAGGGGTTGTAGGCACAGGTGGTGTTCTCATCGATCCTCCCAGTCTCGGGCTATGGGGTAAGGAGGGAGAGGAGGATCCAGGTAGTGAACCAAAGACTGCAGCTGTGGTGTCATCGGGAAGGCTTTGGCTTCCGTGACTATAGTCCGCTCTTTGGAGAGAGACACAGTGAGCTGCTGGGAAGGGATGACCTCCACCTCTCTTCTCTAGGGAGGAGGCTCTTCTCAGCCAGATTGGCTGACCTGCTCCACTGGGCTTTAAACTAAGCCTGCCGGGGGATGGGGGGACTACTGCCACTGCTGGCTTGCTAAGCAACCTTTGCAAAGCAGCAGACCAAGGCACTTAAGGAAGCCCACCCTTGCCCCAGCCCTGGAACGAACTGTAGGCAAGGCAAAGGGCCCCAAGGGGACACTTGTCTGCCTATACACAAATGCCAGGAGATTGGGGAACAAACAGGAGGAACTTGTCCTCCTGTGAAACAAAAATTACTATGATGTCATAGGGATAATGGAGACCTGGTGGTACTTCACCCATGACTGGACCACGGGTATAGATGGCTATACCCTGTATTGGAGGGACCGAGTGGACAAAAGGGGCGGGAATGTAGTTACCTATGTCAAGGAAAGCTACGCATCCCTGCAAGCTGAAATTGGCACCTGCGGTGGACTTGAGACCCTCTGGGTTAAAATCTGTGGGGAACACAG